AAATTGTACTTTTATGTATCACTGTACTGTTATTTCCACGTACCCTAACATAATACCTAAAGCCCCTCGTGTTTTTCAGTTTTGTAATTATTTTTCTGATGAAGGTTACCTTATGCGATAACTGTGATAAGAAACATATAAGGAAAATTAAATTAAGTGAATAATGCAACAAAAAATAAATGATAAAATATTTAATTTTCACGCGAAGTGCACAAGTTTCAAGTCACACTGTTAATCTTACCATTAATAAAGAGATTGGTTATTAGTTGGTATGACATAACGGTGAACCAATTTAAGGGTCATTCGCATGATTTAATACGAGGAAGTTTAATTACACATCATAAATAAATCGACCAAGATCTAATGCGTGACTCATTAACGATTATTCAATATTTTTATTGCTAATTGATGTTATAAAAACGAAACGAACACAGCTGGCTTCAGTGTCAGGGTCAGGTGCTGTTAACCTCTCGCCGGTAGCCATAATTGCAATAACCAAATCACTATTTGCATAACATTGAGATAATTTTGCTTTACATTGCGGTAACAAATCAATTTAAAATTAGATTATCGTGAGAACCACACCGTTTGGGAATTAATTGCATGGTCAGTTTTTGACAAAACGTTTATTAAATGTCTGAATTTCCGTTTCTAATTTAACGGATTATAATATTATGATCTACATTAATTGGTGTAGCTTATTTTGATTTATTGAAATATGTTTAAATTCAAAGCCACTTAAAACATTTTGTACACGGCGCAATTATGCTTTTGGTCAGATTCTACACTTCAAATATGCTATTACAGCTAATACAACAACTTGAATTTTAAAATACTTAACTTCAATTAGTAGGTGAGAGTAACTTTAATGACTTGCCACTTTCATATTCTACTCCCCAAAGTCCCCAACATTATTATTACACTTTGTGGCCACAGGCTAAGCATGGTATTATTCAGTGCCGGTCTGGCAACTTTCTTACACGTCTAGTATTTTAGAACTATCATCTAATAATAAAACAGGTACCTAATAAGCTGAACTGTCGCGAATGCAAGTCTTGTGTCGTGCAAACTTTACTGCGCAAAATACTAAACACTACCATCAGTGAGCGATGGAAATTGCCCAATTATATTAGTACCTACTTTCTTTCACGTCTTCCATTATTCATTTATTTTAGTTACCTTGATGCTAGAGATGATCTCAGCAAAGCTCTAAGCGCAAAGTTTGCAAAAGGTCGACCTCTGACATAACATAGTAGAGCAGATGAGTCAGGCGTGTCACCACTCACGCGCCGCGCCGAGCCGTCACGACTGCAATTATTGACTCGATCGCGCAGATATTCGTTGTAACATTCAATTGCGATTATTGTTGGTTATCCTCTCCTCTAATTGAGATTTATAAGCGAAACCCTCTTATGAGTGATAAGTATCGCACACGATAATTGCACGAAGCCTCTCTGGCATTTCGCGAGTCGCCAAATCATCGCACGAGTTCGTTAGGTCAGGACCATCTCATGGCCAAAAGGCGTTGGTATAAATAAGTGAGAAGTCATTAAAAATAATAACCTTTTCGAGAGCTTTGCTTAATTATTATATTGAAGCATGATCGTATAGATTCCTTTTGTTTTCATCGAGTATTTACCAACCTACTACAACTAAATATTAAGTAGAAAGCACAATCTGATAACACCGTAGATACTTAACTATCAACTAGTGGCGTCTAGATAATAAAACGTACAGTATCTAATACTTATCTAAACATAATTTATGTCACTTTCTTATCAGATGTTTTTACAGCCTATCGTTGATAATCTCTTAGATATCAGGTTGTATTATAATAGCAACATAGTTATCGGCCTTGTGGAAATCTAACCTCGCCCAAACGAAAAATGTGCCCCTGAATTTCAAAAATAATCGTGCGCATTCAAGTGGAAAAGGATTTATGCGTCATGATCTGTCAACGTATTTAAAGTTAGTATTAGATACAGCTTTTTGTGAAATTACATCTTCTACGAGTATGACATACTTACCTACCGCCACAATTTACATGTAACTGCAACTAACTTTTCTACTTTAGATTAAAAGTGAAGTTCTAATGCGTTGAAGTCTATCGCAAGTACCAGTGGCGGATTTACCAATAGGCCAAGTAGGCCAGTGCCTAGGGCGGCAGATTTAGAGGGGCGGCAAATTTAGCAAATTTTTTTTACAGGAAAAAAAAATTATACGTAGGTATACCTACACAATCCATATATAAATAAACGATTAATAAACGCACCGTAATATATACTTAGGTACTTATGTAATCATGAATTTTAAAATATTCCAATAGCGTTTCAATAAAAATAAAATAAAAAACTCGTAACACAGGATCTTCGGAGCCTAGCACGAGCACCATCTCTCCACAACTTCGTGTAGGTATATTGTTTTACAGGGTGGCCCAGAAGAAAATTCACTTTTAAAAATTCAAGGAAACGAAAACTGTACATTTTTGTAGAACTTAAGCTATTGCAATTTAAAGGAAATTTAGTGCAATTTATTTTAAAATGTACTATCTTTTATAAATTTTATCGTACATGTGATTCCCTTGACGTTTACAACATTCGGTCAACATACATCAACTTTTTGGAAAACTTTCGTAAGCGCTCCTGCACACGATGCCGCTACCGCGCCGCCGCCGCGCCGTCGCCGCGCCTTTGTACTGCTTATACGCGCCGCGTGAACACCGCTGCCGCGCAGCCGCCGCGCCGCCGCCGCGCCGCGCAGGAGCAGGAGCCCTTAGGCCTCAGCCTCGAACTTAGCGGGCAGCGGGGCGGCGGCGGCGGCGGCGGCGGCGGCGGCGGCGCGGAAGCGGGGCGGGCAACTCAGACCCGTTCTCGAAACAAGCGGGCAGCTCGCGCGGCGCTTTAGTGGCGAAGTGTTGTGTTCGGGGTTGTGTTGTCGAGATAGTTGTTTTTATTTGCAAACGAAATGTCTGAACAACGGCGACAATTTTATTTCGATTCAAATTTATTCCTAACGCTCGATTTATTGTGGGCAAAAGAAGGAGCGCGCTGCCCGCTCGTTACCCGCTCCCTCGCCGCTGCCCGCTCGTTGCCCGCTCCGGCGCCGCTGCCGCGCCGCTGTTTTCGAGAACCGGTCTATTTGATTTCACGCATAAGATCCTGCCGCTGCCCTCAAAATGGATTCAGGATGGATGAATGCTGCAGAGTTTTTGGATTATTAGAGAGTATACTCTGCTCATAAGGTAACCCCACAAAAGAAGTCTGCTGGAATGAGATTAGCGCTTCTTAGAGGCAGTGAGATTTCACCACTGCTTAATTGGTTTGTTGCATTGAAAGGATGATTAATTTTTGAGAGCGCTATACTGGTAGTTAGGCTGAAAAGCTTTTTGATTTCAAAGCTGCAAGATTCGCAAGGTTATGACCGGAGCACTTGGTTTCATCAAGATGGGGCTACGTGTCACACTTCAACTGAGAGCATTTAGATGGTAAGAGACATGTTCCCACAAAAAAATAATTTCAGGCAGGGGTGACATCTCCTGGTCACCAGGAAGCCCTGATCTCACTCCAGAAAATTATTTTTTGTGATGTTACATTAATACAAAATATACTTTATAGATTATAGAGAATACTTTTATAATCCAACAACCATGCAGCAACTGAAGCTGAGCATTCGGCAAAAAATTTAAAATAGGTTTCGAGGTAATTCTGACGAACGCATTCCAAGATTTTGTGTATGTTGATCGAATGTTGTAAGCGTCAAGGAAATCTCCTGGGCGATGTAATTTAATAAAGGTAAATTTAAAAATAAATAGCATTAAATTTTCTTTAAATTGCAATAGTTAAAGTTCTATAAAAATGTAGGTACAGTTTTCGTTTCCTTGAATTTAAAAAGTTAATTTTCTTCTGGGCCACCCTGTATTACCAAGCCTTGGTCTTTCTGTTTACCTGCTAATTATACTGGATATAACACTTCGAATGGCTCTGTGCACATCGGTGACAATTTGTTCAGGTGAGAAGCTTTTCTTGCTTAAAACGGGTTAAAAACTATCTACGATCTTCTTTAAGTCAAGAAAAGCTTAATGCTTTATCTCTTTTGTGCATAGAGTCAGAACTTTGAAAAAGATTTCATACGTCGATATAATTAATGATTTTGCAAATTTAAAATCTCGCAAGAAAATAATGTAAAACTTATTTGATCTCATTGTCTGTCCCCATTAACTGGATTGTTAACATGTTATATTTTAATAGAAATTGTTTGTATTGTTTTTAAACTGTTAAGTCCAATAAAATTTTTTATTGATTAATAAAATATTTACCAAAAACAATGTTTACTGACCACACATTATTACACACACACACTTAAAAATACCGACACTTTATGTCTGTGTTCATAAAGTGTCGGTATTTTTAAGTCATGCGTTTGCCCACCTTAGGATTAGTACCTACATACTGCAGTTTTTAGGTCAACATTAAACTCTTCAGTACATAGCGGGTTGCAATAATAATCTAGTAACTGACAGAAATATCATTAAGTTCACAATCATACTAATAACGGGATTAAACTAACGTACTGAATTTCAATAGTCAGTAGGTAGGGGCGGCAAAAATTGAATGGCCTACTAGCGGCAAATTTGTAAATCCGCCACTGGCAAGTACGCTAGCTACTACAGACGATTATAGTAGCGTTACGAAAACAAATGTCATAATCATCACTGTAGACATAGGTATAATAACATTTATGTAGCTCTGTTTTTAATACGCAGTTTATTAATTTATTAATTGTGGCAGATTCCCAGTCTACTTCTCAACTCTGATCTTTCAATATGCTAAACTAAATAATTTATCGTGCATCTGTACATGAAGTCGTCACTCAGGTATATAACGACATAATAACCGAATATTAAGTTTTTTAATCAGGGATTACCTTACATTTGAACACTTATGATAATTAATTTAGGTTCTAAGTAGTTTATATAAACTAAAGCTTACCTTCTCTTGCAGGCGATCGGGCACGTTTCCGGCGGGCACATCAACCCGGCGGTGACGGCGGGACTCTTCGCGTCCGGCGACATCAAGCTGCTGAAGGCTGTCCTCTACATCATCGTCCAGACACTGGGAGCCGTTGCCGGTGCTGCCTTCATCAGGGTGAGCATCTGTGTTTAGATATGAGTGAAAAGTTACTACAAAAATGGATTAATTTCACATTAGAATCTTTCAGGTACCTTTCAGATATAAAATATATAAAGTATAGAGTGTTGCGAATCGAGACACAATAGATAATTTAATAAATTGTTACGTGGTCTTATGCGACCGCTTGGGGTCTGATGGATTAAGTACCTATGACCTGAGCTTTTTCAGGCATTAGTAACGCCGTTAACTAATATTTACGAGTACTACTGGTTCTATAACTTATTCTGTGGTACTACATACTAATATCAATAGTACTTAGTTGTTTGTAAACAAAATTCCTTCTTATACTTACTTAATTTACTTATTTATTCGTCACATAATTCGCTTATTTTAAAAATATGCATTTACACTCCAGCTATTAATTTCCAGACCATTCTGGTCAGTATCATTTAAGTGATTGCGGTCCTTTAGCGGCAATATAGCATCATTTCCTTCACAAATAAGGCTTAAGGCTCCCGAGCGACATTCTAACCGCGTGTGACACTGCGCAGAAAAACTGTCGCTCGCCGTGACACTGATGCTTCAGGATAGATCTAAGGCTGACCTTCTGCGTGACTTCAATTTAGACCATTTATTACGATTTATTAATAGACATGTCTTGACATCGTAAGATGTTATACCTACGTTTTTCAAAAATGTTATTTACAGCTAATCTGATTCTTTTTCTACCATGAGGGTCCTACAATAAAAGATGTCATCGGACTTTCAGGTTAATTAATGGTAACATAGACACACCCACTAACCTGCACAAAACTTCACTTCGGCACGTCCTATTTCATAGAATTTCCTTGGAAGAATCTTTATGCTAATTACTAAAATGACAAATGAACGCACGCTTGCTACTGTACTATGACTATACCTAATAGTGCTACTACGCATCTGTTGAGCACCCTAGTCATGATGGCAACATTATTTCTACCTACCTACAAAAAATTATGCTTATCAAAAGTATCTCCATGAAAAGTAGCAAAGATTTGAAAGATGGTTTTGTAATATTTTTTTTAATTAATATTAAAAAATCATTTTAAAAACAAGCTTTTATTATAAATACAATTTGTTTTAAGATTTATCTTATATCAATAACAGCATGAAACGTAATAACATTACACAACTCCCAAGTCCCAACACAATAAAATTAGTTCTCGTATTTTTTCCCACTTTTCCTCCGACTTTCCACACATTTGTCCGTCCGTTTGTGAACACAACTTTCCATTCTATACTAAATAACGATGTTTCCATGCGCGTCCGCAGATCGTTCCCACGATCGTCTCTATCATACCACATTATGTCCCATAGAAGTCCCATTGTGCTGGCATTTGTATGAATCCATCGTGTTCGGGCCGTTATAGATCTCATTTAACACTCACACGTCAGAAGGTACTTCGTAGGTACCTACTTCATACAATGTTTCCACTTGCGATTTCATTGATGACACGCGAGGCAGTCCCTTTTAGAGTTACGACACTATTTATTGACTAGACATCAATACCAAAGAACAAAAAGGCAAAAAGACATTAGTTAGTTTGGTTAACATTTTAGCGAAAGTTTGTATATTAATGTAATACTTACTTCTTTTTTCAACAGTTGGCGATACCTGACAGCCGAGTGGAGAGTGCAGGATTGGGACTGACGCTTCCCGGGCCCGGCGTGTCTGATGCTCAGGTAAGTAATGAAATGAATCAAGTATTTAGGTACAGTGATGTCCCGATAAGTTATTTGATTGAATCACTAGTTTAAATCAACGCTTGGTTTAAATCAAGTTTAAAGCTTTTAAAAGTAATGACAATAAGCGGATCACCCATGACCTGAAACCTGAAAGTTGTAAGCTGAATTTAGAAATAATGATAACCTACGCGTTTTTGTTTCCCAGGCTCTGCTGATTGAGGCTCTAATCACCTTCCTGCTGGTGATGGTGGTGCAAGGTGTCTGCGACGGTCGCCGCACCGACCTCAAGGGCTCGGCGCCTCTTGCCATCGGCCTCAGCATCACTGCTTGCCATGCTGCTTGCGTAAGTGCTTCCCAATTTTCCATTAGGTGGCATCCAAAACTATTTCGTTGAATGCTAATAAATTGTAATTGTTATCTTGCTTGTCTAACAAAGCTTTTGTGATTGGTTTCATAATGTGTTTGTTGCCTTTCACAGGTTCCGTTCTCGGGCGCCAGTATGAACCCCGCGCGTACCTTCGGCCCGGCCCTTGTCATGGGCGAATGGACAGCTCAATGGGTGTGTATCGACGAATTCTTTACAGTTTTTCTAAATCACTACAGTCAGTTTTTTATTCATTCTGTATCTAGGATTTCCTTTCACAAATGTTTTTAATCCACAACGGAAGCTCTTGTCCTGCTTCATACCTGATGGAAATGATATTAGGTAATTATTATAATAAACAAACACGTCTTTTGTTCCTAACTTGCTAACAAAAATTTCCATGATTAGGTATAGTAATTTATGGATTCATTTATGCTCATGTGGAATGAAAGTCAATGCTAAAATCTGAAAGTAATACCTATTTGCAGAATACGCACTAATTAGGCAGTCATTCGTGAGATTTATGGAGCTAAGATCTAATCCCTTCATTTGCATGTTTAGAGAAGTAGAGAAAGTCAAATGAGAGTTGATAAATCAGAAAGCTTATATTAAGTACTTTTACTAACAGAGGAGACAAACGATATGGCACGGAGCAGGCTCTAATCGCGATATCCACTTCTCAAACATACTTTCTCTGGCAGATGTTTTGCTGCAATAAGTACATTAAAGTAACTTAGCCCTTCCTACCAAATGAATTGGTCAATCGTGATTCGATTGTTAGGGGGCAAAAACATTTTAACTAAGGACTTGCTTTGATTCCCAGTTTCATTAGGTACTACGATTGTTATCATCACTAGCAAACACAAGCGGATCAGTTAAACATATTTGCTATTCTATTTGAACAGGCAAATATTAGAAACACGACAACTGCTCTCCTCATAAATGCATAGCAAATAATGACAAAGGTAGGAACATAGAATGCAATACCTAATCCATCCATAACGTATGGAATTAATTACTATTGGAGGATATTATAAATTTTAAGCAGGAAATGGAAATTAAGGATTGTCAAGAAGATCCTCAAAATTTCTAGGATTGGATAGGTTGCCCATCGTTTTAAAATATCTAAGCCAAATCATATAGGCACATATTGAAGGTACAACTTAAGTAAACAGGCTTTTTGGTTAACATATTATGTACCTACTTACTTGTCGCAGGAACAAACACCACAAGTGACACAATAAACATAAATAAATAAAAAAAAAACATACTACAGTAAATAAAACAAGGACAGCACGAAGCTGTTACGTTAAAGTATTCCCTAAGTTGTTTTACACTATTTTGACTCAAAATAGTAAGAAGCTCACATCCAAAGGGACTGTAGAGTGTCGATCACTATTTTTTAACTATTTTAAATAAAATTAAATAGTTATATGTAGATTCATATGAAATTGAAAAAACAATAACGTAAGTTAATAAGCAAATATTCTTAACTGTTTAACAATGAGGTTGAACTTGACCGAGCGTCGGAAGTGGCCGACCCTTTCCTTTAAGGTCTTAATGTGCGTACTTATTACCTACTTAAATTATTGTACGAAGGTACTTCATAATTTGTATGAATTGGATAAAAGAAATCTTACATACAGGGTGGAAACTTGGACGAATTCGTCCAAGGGTGGAAACGATAAGTGATCTCACTCGATTATTTCTAAACTATACAAGATATTGAAAAACTGGTTACTGATCCTGAAAGTGGTTCAAGAGCTCTTTCAAACGGTACCAATAATAGGTTACAAAATAAACTGGGTCTATCTGAAAATTCAATGTTTCCAGCTTTCATACTAAATGTATGCAAGACACACAATATTAGAAGTGTAATTTTTTTAATTTAATAATAAACTTAAAATAAACTCGTAAATTGTATTATTATTTTAAATTATTCACGGAAAACATTGGTTTTAGGCTTTACTTGCCATAATATTGTCAAGAGATGAGTGTCATGAATGTGGTAGTACAAAATGTATGGAAGAAGGAAACATTGATTTTTTGGATGGATCCAGTTTATTCTGTAACCTATTATTGATACCATTGAATAGGGCTTGTGAAGCACTTTTAGAATCAGTAATCAGTTCTACGATATCATGTGTAGTTTTTAAAATAATGTGACTTTACCAAATGTATGGAAGCTGGAAACATTGAATTTTCGGATAGATCCAGTTTATTCTGTGACCTATTATTAATACCGTTTGATAGAGCTCATGAAGTACTTTCAGGAACAGTAACTAGTTTATGGATATCTTGTATAGTTTAGAAATAATCGAGTGAGATCACTTATCGTTTCCACCCTGTATATGATTCGAATTTTAATATCTTACTCAGTTAATTGAGGTGATGTCACAGTTATTACATTTTAATCTTCAACCTCTAAAATGCAGCGACGATGCATGCCGCATATCATAGCGGCCTTATAACCTTGTAGTCTGCGCCAATAGACTCCAGCAATTTCGTAAATAAATTATGATAAAAATTAACTCAAACTGAGATTAAGTCATTTTGCAGTTCCCGTTAAAATTGGCGCAGACTATATTGGGCGTCTAATATTTAAGTTCCAATAATTACTTATAGTCTTTTTCACCTAAGATGATCCATATGACGCACAGTGGTCTGAAGAAGCTAGCTATGAAGCTCCCATACCATAGAAACTTAATGTCAGAAATTAATAAATAAAAATATGCATTGTGTTTAGTATACCTCCCTTTGTTTTACTAATATAGTATGAAGGGTATGAGTAGCTCCATGTGTGAGAAAAAAAATATTTTATTTTTTTTTGTATGGAAAAAAACACTTAAAGTGGATTTTTTTTTAACTGAATAGAACTGAAGGGCTGGTACTCACATGAGCTATTGCGCCATACACGGCGATCAAGATGACATACAATTCTTGTGCCTTTGGGTGCCGCTTTGCATGTACATGCGTGCATGTAGGTGATTTTTCAAGTATTTGATGTTATTTTATGAAGTTATGAACCGCTTTCAATACGAGAATAGTATGTAAATTAATACTCATATAACTAGGAATATACTAGGGATATTTTTAAATATTTTTTATTTTGAAAATATAAAAAAATAAAACGTTTAATCATTGAATGAAGTAACCAACCAGTTGGTAACTGAACATAGGCCTCCCCCAATGCTTTCCATGTTGATCGATTGGCAGCGGCCTGCGTCCAGCGCTTCCCTGCTACCTTACGATGTCGTCGGTCCACCTTGTAGGTGGACGTCCCACGCTGCGTTTTCCGGTACGCGGTCTCCATTCCAGAACCTTTCTGCCCCATCGGCCGTTAGTTTTGCGTACTATGTGCCCTGCTCATTGCCACTTCAGCTTGCTAATCCGTCGGGCTATGTCAGCGACTTTGATTCGTTTACGGATCTCCTCATTTCTGATTTGATTTCGCAAAGAAACACCAAGCATAGCCCTCTCCATAGCACGCTGTGCAACTTTGAGCTTCTGTATAAGGCCTATAGTGAGAGGCCACGTTTCCGAGCCATAAGTTATCACTGGTAAAACACATTGGTTATACACTCTAGTCTTCAGGCATTGGCGTATTTTGGACGAAAAGATGTTGCGTAGTTTCCCGAACGCTGCCCAGCCGAATTGGATTCGACGATTGACCTCCTTCTCAAATTGGACCTACCTAGCTGGATCGTTTGTCCGAGGTAGACATACTTGTCGACAATCTCGAGAATTGAGCTCCCAATCCCAACTGAAACTGGGTAAGGCGCAACATGGACATTCGACATAAGCTTCGTTTTGTCCATGTTCATCCTCAGACCTACCTGTTGGGAAACTCGATTAAGGTCTTCGAGCATTGTGCCAAGATCTTCCAACGATTCTGCCATATCCACAATATCGTCGGCAAACCGAAGGTGAGTGATGTACTCGCCATTAATGTTTATGCCGAATCCTTTCCATTCCAGGGGTGTTATTAGTTACTAACCTGCTAATGACGTTTTAATGAAAATAATAGAAATCAATATTGATTAAATAAAGAATTTAAAAAATCGAAATAGCTTCTTTTGTTACCCATTAAGAATTTCCTAAATTTTCAACTTCGACGCAGTTGTGCTTAAGTGGTGGGGGCCCCCGAAAGGGTCGTTTTTTCGGTTTTACGGTTATATCGCGTAAAGGACTTACCCTATCGAAAACTAATAAATAATAAATAAATAATAATTCATAATACATATTATGTATTGGACAAACCGTTCTCGTGCTTATCTTCGTAAAAGTACAAAATGTACGTATAATTATTGACCCTCTCTACGTCCAATGACTCGTCACTCGCAGGCTCCCAAGCCTTGTAAAGGGCCGATTGAACCAGTTTAAGCCTGTCAAGGCTTAAGAGCTGGATGCACCTATTCTTGTTCGTCCTAGCCGTTCCTTAACTGCGGTTACTGCACCTCTTCCTCGGTTGAGGCGGTCCTTTTCAAAACTTGGAATCCTGCGGGTATCGAGCCATTGGACGTGGAGAGGATCATTAATTATACGTAAATTTTGTACTTTTTCGAAGATAAGCACGAGAACAGTTTGTCCAAAACATATGAATTTGGTCTTATTCAATGCAGGATTAAATGCTCTTCATCCGCTATAAAGACCAGTTTTTGATAGGGTAAGTCCTTTACGCGATATAACCGTAAAACCGAAAAACGCCCCTTACGGGGGCCCCCACCATTTAAGTAAGCACAACTCCGTCGAAGTCGAAAATTTAGGATAGTCTTAATGAGTAACAAATGAAGCCATTAAAACAATAAAATCTTTTGTAGGAATCATTTCCGATTTCAAATGTAACTCTACTGGCCTATTAGGCAGTTCGATTTTTTAAGTTGTTTATTTAATCAATATTGATTTCTATTATTATTTTCTTTAAAAGTCATTAGCAGGTTAGTAACTACTAACAATGTCAGTTACCAACTGGTTGGTTACTTCATTCAATGATTAAACGTTTTATTTTTTTATATTTTCAAAATAAAAAATATTTTAAAATATCCCTAATATATTCCTAGTTAAATGAATATTAATTTACATACTATTCTCGTATTGAAAGCGGTTAATAACTTCATAAAATAACATCAAAGACTTGAAAAATCACCTACCGAAAATTCAAAATTTCCAAAGCTTGGTACATGCAAAGCGGCACCCAAAGGCACAAGAATTGTATGTCATCTTGATCGCCGTGTATGGTGCAATAGCTCATGTGAGTACCAGCCCTTCAGTTCTATTCAGTTTAAAAAAAATCCACTTTAAGTGTTTTTTTCCATACAAAAAAAATAAAAATATTTTTTTTCTCACACATGGAGCTACTCATACCCTTCATACTATATTAGTAAAACAAAGGGAGGTATACTAAACACAATGCATATTTTTATTTATTAATTTCTGACATTAAGTTTCTATGGTATGGGAGCTTCATTTTCAGACCACCGTGTGACGTTTCGAGTTTGAAAGATTTAGAGATGTCACATAACTAAACCATAGCGATTTATCTATCGATTTTTTTCGAAGAGGTAGTGAAACCTACTTTTAGAGAAATATTTTGTATAGGTGTTATTTAACAAAAAACATGTTTTTTTAATTACAAATATTATTGTAAAAAAATTTTATTGATAATATTCAAATTTCATGGTTCGTGTTCAAAAAAACGATTCCTAAAAAGTGCTGGTTCTGTTTCTTTAAATTAAAAACTATTAATTTATTTTCAATGCGTTTATTAAAGTCAATAATCGAAAAATATAGTTGATTTTTGTGATGTTTTTAATAACTAAGTATTCACTGCAATCGATTAATGAACCGCGGAAATAATCGATTTTATTAAACAAGAAATACCCCAGCACTAAATCTATTCCGTTTCACACATTGCGTACATTAAATAAAAAATCTTTTTACATCATATTTAATTTAAATATAATCCATACACTCAGATTTTACTATATATTTCAAGACAAGTAGTTAATTTTTTTTAATTATATTCCTAATAAAATAGGAAATATTTTTTCAAAAATATTCTGCATATGTAGTATGCGTAATATGGATAACCTTGAAGTGTCATACGGATCATCTTACGTGAAAAAGACTATAAGTAATATGGAAATATACTTACCCAACTCCTTTATACCATAGGCGCGATGCATTCATTTCCATGTTAAAATAGGAGGTATCTAACCCACCACTTCACTTTGTCCTTAGGTGTACTGGGTAGGCCCGCTAGTGGGAGGCGTGGTCGCCGGTTTCGTCTACAGGTTCATCTTCCGCATCGGCAAGGACGGCGAGAGCGGCTCCTACGACTTCTAGGTTAACAAGTGACCCTCGGGGACCTCGAAGGGTCTCCCGGGCTCACAGATACCACCCCAACTGTACTTTGTGCCTTCACTCAGTAGAGCTAAGCCTGTCTGAGATTAAGATAAGAGATGTGTGTATTTATTTTATGGGGATACTTCTCAGTTCGAGATTTCTGACGTAAACTCACCGATGGCAGTTTCTTCTTCAAAAAAATAATGCTCAAGAAACAATGATCTTAAAATATTTCCAATAAATATAGATTTGCCATCGATGAGTTTAGTGTTGTTAATTTGTTTTAGTCTATCTTGAATAGTGCAAGATAAAATTATTCCAAAGCCATTTTCGAGGAGGAAAAATCGGATAGATAATTTGAAATCTTCAGAGTGAATTGATACAGTTCTTTTATTTCCTCCAATACGATTTTCTTGATCTGAAAACAAATGTTTATTGATGATGGAAAAGTTGAACATTTCAATTCACTTTGAAAAGGTTTTCATCAATGTACGCTAAGTAATAAAATAAGGTAAAAAGTATTACCTAAGCCTATTTATATTATGTGAATAAACTATTATAAGTTAATTTTAATGTTAAACAAAATAAAATATTCTCCGCAAAATAATAATTTGTTTATATTCGCATGACTGCGGTATCGATAAGAGTACCTTTGAGATTTAGGATCTAAGATAATGTTACGGAAAATTTTTAATAATAATAATAAATATTTAGTTAAAAATACGTTTATAGTTTCATTTATCATCTACCCACCATTTTATAATTTAATTGGAATTTGAAGATTTGGTTATTCTAATTAGTAAGGGAAACGACAAATTAGCATTTTTGAACTAAATCTATTATGGCAACTAAAAGCATGCGAGCTTTATTCGCCGAATAATTTAACCTTTTGTCGAGTCGACTACAAGATCACCGATGTTGCAATACCATTGTCATCCATAATCTAATTACATACATTACGCTTTGTGCGTGTGCATTTGCATATGGAATGACGTTGAGGCAACAATCGTCAGGTTTGTTCGAAGGCTCAGTTTGACCTCACAGCATTCTAGAGCATAATGCCAAGTTAAAAACTACACATAAACCGTGTCTAATACTAAATTGCATTTATCAATCTCAAGATCTCAATTCAAAAAGATATTTTCCATTGATAAGTCGCTCTTTGCCCTAGTAACATTGACACGCATAAAAAGACACGAGTTGACACCGGAGGCTGATCTTCGGTGCGCCGGCGCAGCCATCGTGACTGTTCTAATTTAGGGCGACATGTCGGCTGCAATTAAGATTGTTTATGCTCGTTTTAGCTTCGGTGAATCTTATGTTAATTGTACGGTAGTCACCGCACAACAGTACGCTAAGTAGACTGGTAGACTTTCTCCCGCAACGGTTGAATTTAAAATCTAAGAAAAAAAATGATTACAGGTTTTTAAAAAAAATCCAGGATTCGAAAGCAGTGACTATTTATTAATTAATTCAAACAAATGAAAGCGGTTACAATTCGATACCAAATAGAATAAATACTTGACGACGTTGAATACAGTTTTCTACGATGCTATAGTGGATTAAATTTAAACATTGTTACGTGACATTTATTAATGTGGTTCATTTAACGGGGCCTTGACCCACAGCAGTGAAAGGGATGCGTCGCCGGTTCGTCTCAGGTTGCCTCGAACGGAGCTATGACAAGCCAAACTATTTCTAACTACACAGGTGACTTGATCACTCATCTACCCAGTCTTGCGTACATGACTCGAATAGACATGTGAACTGGAGTATATTTCAATCGACGAATCAATTTAAAATATGCTCATGTCATTGACATGCTGACAAATGCGTATTCAATGACGGGCACTTCCGTTTTACGATAGCACTAACTTGTTTAGCGGTCAAATTGGTGATATTAATTGGGAGGTGTGATTTCAGCGCAATTTTTTCGATCGCGCAAAGCTGTATAACGGCTAACCCGTAGCACCATCGTTAGACGTCTCGCCTTTGTGTACGCATTTGAGTGCTATAGAATCAAGTTACATTCTCTTTTCGTTCATGTTGGTAATTGACAGAATCTTTAAAAGTTTCTAGATAAAGTGATTGCTAGATAGTATTGAGATTGTTACTTGTTTCTATACGTTTTTTCCCGTGTAGTCGAATAAGTTAGCAAGCCATACATCCGTCGTACGGAAGGCAGTGCGGGACGAACGGCCGGCCTCACGGCATCTCGTCGAGGGTTGCCTGAAGGAAGGCGTCGGGCTCTGGAATTTCTTCTAAGAACCCGGCCGCGTCGCAGAACTCGGCGAATGACGCGCAAGGGAGAAGCTCGTCGGTGAGAGTGGTGACGATGCGTTCGGCCGCTTTCGCGTTAGCCTCGTCGTTGTGGCGGATGTATTCGGCTAACTTTACCGGCCATTGCTCGACTGTTGTTGCGTGCACGTTCTGTTTAGAAAGAAATGCGCATTTTAATACACAAAAATAGTTTGATACGCAGCTTTTAGACATCGTTGATTCTGGTTTGATTGTTTATTTTTAAGAATGAAGCTTTTTAACTCGTCTGCGTTTGCTACTAATGCTAAAGCGATAACGATGGCAATTCAAACATCAATAATTAAAGTGGTCGGTCTTTCGATTAAGTTAAGCTAGCTGGCGGTTCAACTGTAGATCCTGGCTACACTGGAGTTGCAGCGGTGGGAACGAGAGGTGGGAATAGTCCCGCCAGGAAGCTAAGATGCAATAGATAAACACATAATAAGGTTCACTCGCAAAACTTATATCACTGCTCTTTTGCCATCATCATCATTTCAGCCATTGAACATAGGCCTCCCCCAATGACTTCCACATCGCACGGTTGGTAGCGGCCTGCATCTAGCGCCTTACTGCTACTTTTATCAGGTCGTCGGTCCACCTTGTGGGTCGACGACGCTGCGTTTTCCGGTATCTTTTTGCCATCGGTCGTCAAATATAATGATTTAAAAACTGATAGGACTCCTACCTTGAACATAACGTTGTACAGCAGGTCCACGATGGCCACAAACAGCGCGTAGGGCTTGTAGTCGGGCCAGGCGCGCGCCGGCCGCTGCTCCGGTGCGAGCGCCCTCAGCGCCGGCCCGCCCGGGCACACGGCGCGCGCGTGCGCGATCACCAGCACGCTTTTCAGCATGGCCAGGCGGATCGACTTCCATCTGGGGAGATTAGGGGTTAGTAGATAGAAATAAATANTCTTTGGACAATTTCACACAGCGCCAGCTAGCCCCAAAGTAAGCAACTTAATGCTTGTGTTATGGGTGCTAGCTTAACGGATATACTACTTATATACTTTTTTTTAATACATAAATATTATACATAGTCACACCCAGACCCGTCACAGAAATTAAAATTCATCATTTCAATTTCTGCCCGGCCGGGAATCGAACCCGGGACCTCTCGGCATAGTAGTCCGTTCTGAACCACTCCACCAAACGGCCGTCAGAAATAAGATACATTTTTGCACATCTTATCAGGCATGTATAACTGATAATGATATTTGATTCCACTAATCAATTGATCTATCAAAATGCGAAGTGACGCTTTTCAGCATGGCCAGCCGGATCGACTTCGATTGTGGCTTATTAACATAGAAATAAGATGAATCTTTTGCACATCGTAGAAATCTGACTTGGCAACTGTTTGCATATTCACCCTGTATATCTAAACCTCTATTCAGGTAATAACCTCAAACTCAACCCAGCTCTGTATTCAACATGGAATAGTTGCCCAAAATAAACTAGGGAAATGACGAGAAGCTGTTTGAAACTAATGGTTTTAGGCTAATGGAAACGTGGAAATGAATATGATAAATAATTGATGAGGGTTACTAACTACTCTACGCCGTGGTTAGTGGTTAGAGATTTAGACTCCCTTACGGATGAGGTCTAGGTTTGAATCTCAAGGGAGCATCATCTTTCAAGACTTTGAAGAATCAACAAATTGGTAGGCAAATGAATTGGGCCTGGATCGGCTCGACTAAACGATTTAGTAACTCGATATACAGTGTGTCCGGGCATGTAGTGATCAAACTTTATGGGCTAAATCTAGGGACAATTTTATCGATAAAAATACTTCAAATTTGGGGCTTGACCCATTTATCGCAAAATCACAAGGATTTAAGTTTTTAATTTTTTGTTTTCACCTCTTCCTTCAAAAACAAGTGAAAGCGTGGGTAGCTTAACATTAATAAGCTACTTTTTTATATCATGCGAAAGCCAATAAAATTATCTATTAGCAAAAGTAGAAAACAGATACAAGTTTCATACATTTTAAGGGAGTAAGAATGGATTTAATTAGAAAAAAACATGACTCTTTTCACTTCTTTTTCAGTTATTTTCCAACACAAGAAAAACCAGGTCGTTAAGGTATGTTTTATTTGCATTGTATTATTAGTATTTGAGCTGTTCTACAAAACGAATGTAAATTTATTAGTCTACGTCTATTAGTTTCGACGTAATTGTTGAACAAAAATACCCCTTCCCAGCGGTTTCCATAGTAATCGGAATAGGTTGTGTGATTCTTTCAGGAAGTGTATTTTCGCATGTCGCGTGCGCTATGCAAACCGCTGGGAAGGGGTATCTTTGTTCAACAATTACGTCGAAACTAATAGACGTAGACTAATAAATTTACATTCGTTTTGTAGAATAGCTCAAATACTAATAATACAATGCAAATAAAACATACCTTAACGACCTGGTTTTTCTTGTGTTGGAAAATAACTGAAAAAGAAGTGAAAAAAGTCATGTTTCTTTCTAATTAAATCCATTCTTAATCCCTTAAAATGTATGAAACTTGTATCGGTTTTCTACTTCTGCTAATAGATAATTTTATTGGCTATCGCATGATATAAAATTTTTGCTTATTAGTGTTAAGCTACCCACGCTTTCACTTGTTTTTGAAGGAAGAGGTGAAAATTAAAAATTAAAAACTTAAATCCTCGTAATTTTGCGAGAAATGGGTCAAGCCCCAAATTTGAAGTATTTTCGTCGATAAAATTGTCCATAGATTACGCCCTTAAAGTTTGATCACTACAAGCCCGGACACACTGTATATTTGATTTCCCCAATCAAATAGCGAGTGCGCAATTATAAGATACTCTGTTGCACATCGCAGACATAGGATATTGGCGTGTTCGCAAGCACTAGTACGCTCTTCAGCATGGCCAGGCGGATCGACTTCCATCTGGGGAGATTAGGGGTTAGTTAGGTAGAAATAAGATACATTTTTGCACATCTTATTAGGTATGTATAACTGATATAGGATATTTGATTCCACTAATCCAGGGTTTCCCAATTTTTTTTTGCCAAGGAACCCTAATTGATTATACTTTTCCTAGCGGAACCCCCGTACTACTCCGCCCGCACGCCCTGCCCCTCCCTTGTGCGTAAACAAGTCGGTGCGAGCGAACAACGTCGCACGAAATGTGGGATAATATTTTTTACGGAACCCTTGCGGCCTTTCCACGGAACCCCAGGGTTCCACGGACCACCATTCGGGAACCGCTGCACTAATCAATTGATCTACCTATCAAAATGCGAAGTGCGCGATCACCAGCACGCTCTTGAGCATGGACAAGCGGATCGACTTCCATCTGGGGAGATTAGGGGTTAGTTAGATAGAAATAAGATACTATTTTGCATAGCAATTTTGACCTAGGATATTCATTCCACCAATCGTAATTACTAGCAAGCTCTTCAATATGGCCAGCCTGATCGACTTCCATCTGAGGGAGTTTGTGGCTTATGAACAAAGAAATAAGATACTCTGTTGCACATCGCAGACATAGGATATTGGCACGTTCGCAAGCACTAGTACGCTCTTCAGCATGGCCAGGCGGATCGACTTCCATCTGGGGGAAAATTTAATTTAAATACCTGCCTTGTTATGCATAAAATACGCTGTTGTACGAGCGAAGTACAAAACCGATTCCTCAAATCAATGAGGGTTTTCGCGAATGAAAAATCCGCCAGATGGCAATACGTAGACGCGAGGTCCAAATGCTGCATGATTGGTTATATTTGACATGACATTGACAGATATGTCAAAATCCACCAATCACGCAGCAGTCAGACCCCACATCCACGTCCCGCCATCTAGCGGATCTTTCATTCGCGAAAAACCTCATTGACGTTTGTTTTATGAACTTTCAAAGTGCAATTCTAAGAATTAAAGGCCAATGTGTGACCCACTTAATTTTAAGCTGTATGTATCAAACAAGGCTGTATGTTTCTATAATAAAGATAAATAAAAATAAAAAATAAAATTCTTTCAGACATTTTGTAGGGAACTACTGCAGACGCAGATAATGTCACTATTTGCTAATTTAATTGCGTGTTATCAAAAAAAGTTGAAAAAAGCCGAAACATCTTCCGTTCTTAGTGTAAGTACTACACTAATACGCTCACTCGGTGGGTCGAAGATCTGGCAAGATCGTGGAAAGCACCTGGATGAGAGCAGCACAAGACTGGTGATTGAGTAAATCCTTGGAGGAGACCTTTATTCAGCAGTGCACGTCTTCTGTTCGAAACAATTCAGCCATGATGTATTTTGTGCGTCCTAGCCTCAGCTAGGCGTCGCTTCCAGCTCCGATACTTCGCGCGGCGCCTGCGCTTCCGACAGTGTGGAGGGGAATCGTGCGGGTAGAGCACCTGCTGGGACCTGTTACGTACTTGGCGTGCGGGTAGAGCACCTGCTGGGACCTGTTACGTACTTGGCGTGCGGGTAGAGCACCTGCTGGGACCTATTACGTACTTGGCGTGCGGGTAGAGCACCTGCTGGGACCTATTACGTACTTGGCGTGCGGGTAGAGCGCGAGCGCGAGCGTGACGTAGTAGAGCGGGCCCTCGGCGTCGTGCGCCGCCTCTAACAACCGCGCCGGAGCCCAGCCCAGCGCCGCCTCCAGGGCCGACATCTCACGCGTCGCCACGCGGCTCCTGCCAAACAAAAAGGTAAAGTGCTAATATTATTAATTTGAAAACAACATCCGTCATGTGGAGGCCGCGTACCGAAAAACACAGCGTGTCGTCGGTCATAAATTAAAAGTATCATAAAGGTAAAGCGTGGTCCGTGAGCACGAAGAATCCCGTCCAATGACCCCCAAGCTGCCCATCCTTGTCGCTCGCACACTCACTGCTGGCGCGCGCCGCACAGTCGCGACAGCAATATAATTACGCGCGAGCGATAAGGATGGGTAGCTTGGGGTCATTGGACGGTATTCTACGTGCTCACGGACCACGCTTTAGCAGGAAGTTGGTAGCGACCAACCGGGCAACATGGAAAGCATTGGGGGAGGCCTATGTTCAGCAGTGGAGTTCCTATGGCTGAGATGATGATCCATCATGAATCACGATCGATGTAATGCGCATATTTACACTAGGCCACGCATGATAAAGTTGGCCGCAGCGACCTGGCTGCCTAATGCGCAAGACCACTTATGCCCGTTTTCACCATAAATCCCTAATTTTTAAGTGACCCCTATGATAGCAAAATCCCTTAGTGTTACCATAGGGGTCACTTAAAAATTAGGGATTGATGGTGAAAACGGGTATTAGTCTAATAAACGATCGTATGTGACACCGTGTCTGAAATCAGCGATGAACGTCGTGGTGCGAAGAGCGGAGCGGTACGGTGATTATTAGCAATAGACTGACAGCTACACACAGCTTACTCATCTCTCGTCTACGCACCGCTCCGCTTAGCACATTACAGTGTGACGTCAAGCCGTCAGCAATAGACTGACAGCTGACAGCTACACACAGCTTACTCATCTCTCGTCTCCGCACCGCTCCGCTTAGCACATTACAGCGTGACGTCAGCGGCGTGTACTCACGTGTTGATGACGTAGAGCGCCATATGAACGAGCGCGGGCACGAGCTGCATGTTGGACAGCGGCCCGCCGCCGCCGGTGTCGTCGTGGAAGGTGCGTCCGCGCGCGAAGCGAAGCAACAGAAGCTTCAGATCATGTAGTGTGCACGTGTGGCCGATGTCGCGGTGACCGGTGCATTCCTGGACAAAAAAACATAATTAAAGAGCACCGCCGATTGGGAACCAAAGACCGCAACTTATTATGAAAAGAATCAAATAAATGAAATGTAATTTAATTTAATGTGATTGACATTTGCATGCTATGACTTACTCAATATTTGCATGCTATGACTTATGGGCTGAACAGGCACTGACACTTCGAAAATGTACCCAAAGAGCTATTGTTAACCCTGTTTTATGGCAAATAAATATTTTATTATTATTAACAACAACACTTTGGGCATCGACAACAAGTTAAAAGTACAAGTTTATTTTGTAAGTAAATGTATGGCCTCAGCCTCGAACTTAGCGGGCAGCGGGGCGGCAGCGGCGGCGGCGCGGGAGCGGCAGGATCTTATGCGTAAAATCAAATAGACCGGTTCTCGAAAACAGCGGCGCGGCAGCGGCGCCGGAGCGGGCAACGAGCGGGCAGCGCACTCCTTCTTTTGCCCACAATAAATCGAGCGTTAGGAATAAATTTGAATTATAATAAAATTGTCGCCGTTGTTCAGACATTTCGTTTGCGAATAAAAACAAATATCTCGACAACACAACCCCGAACACAACACTTTGCCGCTAAAGCGCCGCGCGAGCTGCCCGCTTGTTTCGAGAACGGGTCTGCGTTGCCCGCCCCGCTCCAGCGCCGCCGCCGCTCCCGCCCCGCTGCCCGCTAAGTTCGAGGCTGAGGCCTATAGGCTTGTCAATTTAAAATCACACCAAAAATATTGCAAAATGCTGATTTTTCTTCTGAGAATTGATAAAATGTTTTGGTTGAATTCGATTTAATAGTCCTTTAGCGTCATCTCAAGAACATGGAACATTATTTTGGTATTACAACTGACACCAGTCTTGATAAATACCTGAAGATAGGTGGTGTGTCTCGCGAGGCAGCTGGCGAACGCAGACTCGGGTACGTGCGGTCCCCACAGCGGCAGCAAGCCGTTGCAGCGAGTAGACGCGTTCTGCAGAGCTGCACTTTCCCACTCGTCCCTGTTTTATATTAATGAATTGAACCAAACAAAATACGTATGTTCATTACTAAGGAGGATCGCATTTTCAGCCTTTTCCTTGAAGTCTCAAGAGAACTTTCTTTCAATCTCTTAAATTTTACTGTTACAGTAATGGTAACATTGTTCATGTTGATGTGCCTTATTTCAGCAGACGTATATTATGTACCAATGAAATTGAGTTCTAACTTGAACTGACTGATTAAAATCAGTGGGAAGTTCACTCGTATTATAAGTCGTCTCATCCACGAAGACGCGCCCCACCAATTTTTGGTCGAGGGAAGAGCAGGGTGCGGGGGACTTTGATCCAAGCAATCCAAGCGACATTATTGTAGTGTGCGTGTGCACTCATGGATGATTTAGCATGTACCGATCACACTCAAACATTAGCGGAAGAATGGTGGGGCGCGTCTTCGTGGATGAAACGATCTATAGATTACTAGCTTTTGCCCGCGGTTTCACCCACGTGAAATTTAGTTTATCACAGATCGTCATAAATTATAGCCTATACGTTATTCTGGGTTATAAACAATAATACTGTAAAGTTTCATCAAAATCCGTTCAGTAGTTTTTGCGTGAAAGAGTAACAAACATCTAGACATTCAAACTTTCGCCTTTATAATATTAGTAGGAGTAGGTGTAAGGACGGGACGAGGCTAATTAAAGATGTTACTCGTATTGAATATGATTTATTACTGATCTCTCAAATATTAGATACATTGCTTTATATATTGTCTTACTACTACGTCACATGTCCTTCCAAAAGGAAAAAAAAAATGTTGAGTTATAGACACATTTTTTTTTTTATATANTGTACTAAAAGTAAAAAACTGGGCCTAAATTGTTTTGTTTTATCATTTCAGTAATTTTTTTACCCAGGTCGGGTTTTTTTTATAAAATCTAATATTTTCGAAGCATGGATTATCTCATTTACATTGCAAATAGGCATTTTGGAAAATCTCACGTGAGATTAGGGGGTGGGGGAGGCGGTCTTGCAAAACCTCATGTAATCTCACCAAGGGGGGCGGGGGGGATTGATAATTATGATTATTGTTTTTCTCTTTTTTGTGATCACCGTCCATAACGCCCCCTGTTGCGCGCCTTCTTGGCTGGTAGCCTCAATATGGTCTCGGTCAAGAGGGCGCGCAATCCGCAATCCTCATTGTATGATGGTTCTCGCTGAAAACCAGCTTCTCGACATGGCGCTTGCTATGTCGCGAATATTGCTGAGCGGACGCCTCGTCAGCATAGTTTATAGTTTAATGTTATAAGTATGTATGTACCTACTGTATTTTTATTTTATTTTTTCTATGCTGAATAAAGTGTTCTTACTTACATAATTTACTTATTTATAGGCATACTGCGTGCGAGGATCCTGTAGATCTCACACGGACCAGTGCAGACTTCTGTGGGGTACAACGGGCGAGAATTCGCACGAGAAATGTTACACCAGAAATAACGTTAATGGAACCAAGTGAGTACTGTTTGGTTGGCTTTAGCCTAGCATTTGATACGGTATCCTTCCGTTTGGCCAAATTACTTTTCGCCAAATTTCACTTCGCAAACAACTTATCGCCAAAGTTTCATTTCCCAAATGAACTTTTAGCAACTGTACTTTTCACAACTAATTCATTTGGTCAAATTATCATTTGGCTAATTTTTACTTGGCAAATGTTTATATAGCAAATGTTTTATTTTGCCAAATAATATCCCAAATAATTTGTTTGGTCAAATTGACACATACTTACCCACCGTTACTCACAAATCAAAGCATAAGGCACATGATCATGGTATTCACAAAAATTTGATGTAAAAAAAGATATTGCAGAAAATAGTATGGTCGCAGAAAGTAGGTATTGCAGAAAATAGTAGGTTAGGTTAGAACAGTGACCATTTGATACAACTATAAAATATTGATCAATTCATCATCATCATCATCACTTCAGCCATAGGACGTTCACTGCTGAACATAGGCCTCCCTCAATGATTTCCATTTTGATGGATTGGCAGCGACCTGTGTCCATCGCCTTCCTGTCACTATTATTCATTAAATAATGAATACCTATCAATAAAGACAGATTGTTTTAATTTCAACATCTGAGGTTAGAAAATCGATTTCAAATAGGGCAGTTCATAACACTAATAAATTGATTTAATGCACTTTTTTTAGATTTTATATGGCAAGGAAATCAATAACTTCAGTTTGATAATTTCAAACCCCTAAAATATAATTTTAAGCTACAATAAGGTGTTTTTAAAGAGGTAGTATCTTGGAATTATTGATGATTGGATTGTGTCAATTAACCAAAGTTGCAGTTTTCTTTTTTTTTTTACCAAAATCGGCCTTAAAATATCTTGTATTTTTTTCCATTCCTTCCTTATAGTTTCGGATGTGATATTCTGTCTACTGTTACTACTATAGTCTGCTCTGCGAGCACGTAGAATTTTGTCCAATGACCCCAAGCTACCCATCCTTATCGCTCGCGCGTAATTATATTGCTGTCGCGACTGTGCGACGGGCGCCCGCAATGAGTGTGCGAGCGCGACAGCAACATAATTACGCGCGAGCGATAAGGATGGGTAGCTTGGGGTCATTGGACAAAATTCTACGTGCTCACGGACCAGGCTTTAGTTTCGGATGTGATATTCTGTCTACTTTTACTACTACACAGCAACCTAACATTTTGTCTTGACCCCACCAGGAACGGAAACTGCGGCTACTTGCGTACGCGGCAGGTTTTCCGCGCCTGCGCCGAGCAGGACGCGCTGTGCGGAATGTTGCATTGTCGACACCTCAACGAGCGATTAGAATTTGGCATGGAGTCCGTGGCTCAATTACATGCAGTCTTTATTAATAACAATGGTGAGTTATCTATACTAATATTATAAAGCTGAAGAGTTTGTTTGTTTGTTTACTTGAACGCGCTAATCTCCGGAACTACCGGTCCGATTTGAAAAATTCTTTCAGTGTTAGATAGCCCATTTATCGAGGAAGGCTATAGGCTATACAACATTACGCTACGATCAACAGGAGCAGTGCAACAATGAAAAATGTTGCAAAAACGGGTTTTCACGCGTACTAAGTCGCGGGCACAGCTAGTGATAAATAAATGTAGATACTAGCAGCAGAGCTGGAACAAAAAAAAATCTATATAGCGTATTTTCAAAATAATAGGCATTTTAAAAAAATCTAAAAAAGCAAATACAAATGTACTCATTTGTATTTACTCTGCTGCTTTTTTAGATGTATACGTATTGGCGCGCTCACATACAAACCGCGCTCGGTGCGTTTCTATGAAGATGACCTACTCATTTGTATTAAAATTTACTCTGGTCGCGGGCAGACTGAAGAGATGCGGCGTCGTCTGCTCAGTCGCGATGAATTTTCTTCGCCCATCCGCATTTGCACAATATTTTTAAGAATTAATAATGTTTGTTTGTTGCAGGCAAAATAATACCGTGTCGCACCGCCATCATAGATCTGGGGCTCAGCGATGTGGACCCCGGCATGGTGCCTGACGGTGCCAAGTGCGGGGACAATAAGGTAAACTCATAAAAAACTCATTTTATTTTTCAAATAGGCTTTTAAAAATCACTTTCACATATCCCAGTATTAAACCTACCACTGCTTCAGGGCAATAAATTGGCCAGTGTTGAGAAGAAGCAGCGCAAGAAACTCAGTCACTATTGTCAGCCTCTTTTTCAAGGGTTTACAGTCTTTAAAATATACATTCTTTTAAATATTGATGCGAGCTAGGCAGTTAAACATTCTAAACATTTTTATCTTTTATACATATAATCATCAACTTAGTGGTCCTTTTTCATAAATCATATTTCATTCCTTTCCTTATTTATTTACGCAGGCAAACTCACGGGGCGGAAACAGTGTTACATAAATAATTCGAAGGTCGGATAGTTGACACTGCTAGTCAACACGTGTATGATATGAAAACATGATTCTTCTGTATAATTTTGAGCAATTAAAACCTATTATATCACTTGCGGCGCAGTACCGGTCTTGGTGGAAATCCTTGGGGGAGGCCTTTGTCCAGCAGTGGACGTCTTTCGGCTGAAACGAACGAACGATATCACTTGTTCGCCAACTGTAACCAATTTTGTATTGATTTTAAAGAAACTTTTTTTCTGAAACTGAATTGTTTTTTAGAATATTGTGATTATTCGTCAACTTCCTTATTGTCTGACATTTTACATAACTAATAGCATAACCATTCCATGTTCTTTCCCCCAGATGTGCCTGAACCAAAAGTGTGTTAGCGTTCAATCGGTACGAGACTCGTTAGCGGCGCGCGACGGCACCGTCTGTCCATCCAACTGCTCGGGACACGGCATCTGTAACTCAGAAGGTAAACTGACTTGTGAAAAATGAAAAATCAAACTAAAAATATTTATTGCCAGATCAACTAGTACAAAAACAAAAGAAATGCATGTTGAAATGGTGTTGATAAATGGTATTGGGAAATATTTCCAGTTGTAAGAACTACATTTATTTTGCTTTTACACAAGCTAAATGAAAATTGTAACTTTAAAAGACCTCGAAGTTGGATTTTTAATTTGAGCATAATTATGTCAAGGAATAATCGAAGAAGGGCAGAGAGAGAAACGCCTGTATTCACTTAAATGAAGCAGCAAAGCGAACGCACAGCGTTGAATAGAGCTCTGTGAATGGCTCGTGTGTCACCCTGTGCGTCCACGCGCATTGTGAAACCTCATAGTAATGTTTGTGAATACGAGCTAAATATTTGTTTTACTTTTTTTCTTTATGAAAGATTCCAGTTTAGATAGAGAACGTTACTAAAGTAAATATTTTTTAAATGTCAAAAGTTCTAAATAGTTCGTATCTAAATCTTTTTAAAACATAATAATCATTATATCCAGGCCACTGCCACTGTGAGCCCGGTTTCGCGCCGCCTCTCTGCATGCTGCCAGGCCCAGGAGGATCTTACGACTCAGGCCCAGCCACCGATCCTAGCCGTAAGTATTCATACTAAAAAGACACATAGAGCGGATCTAAAAAACGGATCACAGAGGATCAAAAAATAAAAATATTTTATTTATTTTATTTTATTTGTTTAACAATTAAATATCTTTATTTGTTTGGACTACTTAAATTACTTCTTGTAAATCTTCAAAATGTTGTTCTTAAGTAGTCTATACATGTGTCATTATTTTTTGCATAGAATGACGAAAATCGATTGTGTAGTCCGTGCACTCTAAAGTGCAGGTGATATATGACCAAAACAATCAGCTATCCCCGGGACTATTCAATCCTCACTGGTTGGGGTTCGTTATTAAAATATTCTGACGTA